AGGACAAAAAATGACCTGGCCACTTTATCCTGGTTGATTTATCTACAATAAGCTTACTTGGTCATCATTTCACCTTGTCAACACGACTGAACAGAGCAACTGCATCAATGGCGACGAATAATGATTTTGGAGCTTTCATTGAGAAACTTACAATCTCTCCAACGCCTTCTTCCTCGGTTCCTTCTTCTCTACATGGTCTTACTTTCGCCATTAAAGACATGTACCATATCCATACATATACTCCTTAGTTTTGATACTACGACTCACTTCAAATCTTTTTGTTTCTTCTTCTTCAAACTTTGAGAGCTTGTTTGGTTTTTGTTTTCCGGTTTAATCAGCTTTGATGTGGAAGGGAGAGTAACCGGTTTTGGTAACCCGGATTGGTTAAGGACACATACGGCAGCTACTTCAACAGCTCCTGTAGTTTCATCTCTCTTAGAAGCTGGTGCAACCTCATTGGGTATAACCATAATGGATGAAATGGCATACAGGTTTTGTTTGGAATTTTTGAGAAATTTTTTAAAACCAAGATATGTTAATATGACTTAGGTTTGTTACGTTTCTTGACTATGATGCTACTTAACTTCCAGTATTAACGGAGAAAATGCACACTACGGGACTCCGATAAACCCGATTGCTTTCGATAGAGTGCCTGGCGGATCATCAAGTGGCTCAGCTGTAGCTGTGGCTGCTGGTCTTGTGGATTTTTCTATCGGTGATGTTATGTTTTTGCTTTTACCAAAATGATTAAATTTAAGGCATTTTTATGTTATCTACGTCTAATTGGTTTCTAAATGCTCTGTTCTTGTGCTAATAGGAACTGATACCGGAGGAAGTGTACGAGTTCCAGCATCTTACTGTGGAATTTTCGGTTTCCGGCCATCCCACGGAGCTGTTTCCACTACCGGAGTTACTCCAATGGCTCAGAGTTTCGACACAGTTGGTAACGACAGCTAAAAACCAAGATGTTGTGAGTTCAAAACAGAATCTTGATATTAATGGTTCCAACATGAAATCTCTCTTTACGTTCTAGGATGGTTTGCTCGGGATACAGCTACTTTGAAACGTGTAGGCTGCGTTCTCCTGCAGCAGCCTCACTTGAACCTTACTGAACCAAGTCAATTGATTATCGCGGACGACTGCTTCAAGCTTTGTAGTGTACCAAGTGATCTGTTGGTGCAGCCTGTGGTTCGATCCGTGGAAAAAACGTTTGGAGGTAAGAAGCATCATAAGAAACTTGTTGCCTTGTTGTTAAATGAGAAGTCGGAGTTTATTTCCTATATAGACAATGTTCCTTTATGATTTTTTTCTGTGTCAAGGCACTACTGTAGTAAAGAATGTGAATCTTGGAGAATACATTGAAGAGAATGTTCCGAGCCTGAAGCATTTCATGACAAGTGACGATGACAAGTTCTGCATTCCTTCTCTCATGGCTTTATCGAGTTCAATGCGATTGTTTCAGAGGTAAAAAAGCATTCTTTCTCATTTATGCCGAATTGATTTCTAATAGTTTATAGGCATAACCAAAGTTTAGGTACGAATTCAAGATAAACCATGGTGAATGGATCTCGTTCGTGAAGCCAGAGTTTGGTCCTGAGATTGGTTCACGGATCGATGAAGCTATTAGGACGTCTGACGAGAAAATCGACCTTTGCCTGTCCGTGAAATCGGAACTTATAACAGCTCTTTCAACATTGCTCGGGGTACAAACTTCTTCCTATTTCTCTTAGCATTATAAACTCTAACAAAATTGGGTATTGCAATGTTTCAAAATTGAGGTTTAGTTGGTTTATTTATATTTCAGTTCGGTTTTGGAGACGGTTTGTTCCAATATGAAAAAATGATTGAACACCCTGAAATATATATATATATAATTGGATTTAATTAGATGATGTGAGAAAATGCTTTTTGTAGGATAAGGGTGTGTTGGTGATTCCGACCGTGCCAGGTCCTCCACCGCATCTCCAAGCTGATGTAGCTGCACTCGAAACTTTTCGCAGCAGAGCCTTTAGCTTGTTGTCAGTTGCCGGTGTTTCTGGATTTTGTCAGGTAAACAACAACCTTAATCGTTTTTCTTTGTGGAGTCGGTTAAGCACCGGTCTGATTGTTTGGTTTTTTTTTCTTGACAGGTGAGTATACCATTAGGGCTACACGAAAATCTTCCGGTATCGGTGTCTTTGGTAGCTAAGCATGGCTTAGACGGTTTTCTTCTCAGTCTTGTGGATTCACTTTCCGGATTCATCTGATTTACATAAAATGCATCTTTGAGTGAATCTTTATTTGGTTTCTGTTTATTAGAACTCGTTTCTCTATCCAATTAATTACCAAAAGTATAGAACTGAACAAAACATTTGAGAAAGGGTATGTTTTTCGATATTTTGGATAAAACGAAATAGTAAGTGTTAGAATAATTGCAGATGATTCAATACGTAAAAGATATGAAATTCTCCCACGTCTATTGCAATAGATTAATGGTGAATTGTTTATTATTATATATGAGATTGTGTATGCTTGTATAATTAACCCATACCTAATAGTCAACTTATAGCAATTGATATCAACATGTTAACAAAATACAATGAAAAATGGGATTTTAACGATTCGGTCTACATAGACATATTACGACATATCCACGAACTCAACCAAATTATGGAAGTATTAAAATATAACGACGACTTGAAAAAAGAAATTATGCGACAAACTAACGTTGATTGCTAATTAAAAACAAGATCCATAAATAAACGCGGAAACAGTCACAAGCTTGGTCACCAAATTTAATATTGTCCAAAATACTGCTAAAACTATTTCTAAAATTATATAACACACGCACCTACTTGCGCATGGAAGTTAATTACATTCGTAGACTCACCTAACTTCTACACCAACGTGCGTCCATGCATCTCAAGCCAATTCTCTTCTGCTCACAATCGCACACCCACGAACTCGCAAC